TTTAAAATAAATCTTTACAATTTTTACATCATCGTTTAAGAAAAAATATTCATCTTCGATTAGTTTAATAAAATTATCATTATTAATCATCGTAAAAGAAAATGAAAAATCATCTATTTTTTCATCTATAACTTTAATAATATCACCACTACAAAAAATTTTTAAATGATATCCATTACTTTTAAGTTTATAAAATTTAAAAATATAATAACGCCCGTCGATAAAATAATGAAAACAAAAAAGCTCATTATAAATAACAGTTTTATTACATTCTCTTGTCTGTGTAGTATGATTTTCTTGTTGTGAAGCTGGTTGTTGAGTTATAAATTTTGAACTAAAATGATTTTGTTGAATTGGTCTAGAGTATGGTTTTATGTTAGCTTTTATTTCATTATAAATAGTTTTATGCATTCTTCTATAATGATCGATAATAGCATTATGTTTATTGTTCGGATTACGAAACTTATAATTACATTTTGTTTGTAAACAAGTAAGAGTATTGTTATCTTCAATTTTAAAAAATTTATTTGACATTTTTGCAAGGATTTTGTGAGGATTTTGCGAGGATTTTGCGAGGATTTTTTAGATTTTATGATCTATTTATATATTTTTTTTTTTTGTGAATTTTTTTGTGTTATAATTTTTTTTTATATTATAAGTATTTCCAACACCGTGCGTAACAACCGAAGGTTGTTACAAACGGCTTCAAATGAACAAGTCTCGAGTGCTGTGCCTCGAGATGCGTTTATTTGTACTTTCCACTATTACCTTAGGTCTCTGAAACCTGGAACCATTTATTGTAAAAATAAATATTTTATTTTACTTAAAATTTAGCGAATAGATGCATAATTTTGGATTTTTGATCAAAAAAGTCAAATTTAAGCATCTTTTCTCCAAATTTCAAGTAAAATAAAAATAACACTGCTGATTTAATGTATAATTAGGTTCTGAACAAGTTTAATTAGTACATAATATTAGAATTAATTAGTAAAATATCATGAACCATAAGATTTTATAGAATTTTATTAATAAAATTCTATAAAATCTTATAGTTTATAACATTTTACTAATTAATTCTAACTTAATATACTAAGTAAACTTGTATTTATTAATTGTTATTTTTGGCTTCAGACACTAACAGTATCCATTCTCTAGTATATTTATTATAGTAAAGCATTTATTTATTAATTTATACATTTTTATATGATTTAAAGTATATAATGATCTTTATTTAAAAATCGATCTCTAATACTATTTCTACTTATTCTTATTACAATTCTATTTTTAATCTAACTCTAAACTAACCCTATTTCTAACAAAATCACATTTTTAATTACCCTAATCTATTTTTAACCACTCTAACATATTTTTAATCATAGTTTTAAACTCAATCTTCCAGATTTAACCTATTTAATTACACTACAGCCCAAATCTAACTATCATGCTTGTTCCAAATCTAACTATTGTGTTCTGTTCCAAGGTTAATCACTTTGGTTAATTATATATTTTCATTATCTTGAAAACAATCGTTAAAGTAAACATAATTAAACTTTACTTACATTAGCAATTAAATGACTACAATTAATTTATTAAACAATTAAATAATTATGGTTAATTACAGATTTTCTTGAAATATGGTTGTTAAGATAAATGAAATTAAACAATTAAATGCTATAGTTAAATACATATTCTCTTTAACATAATCGTTAAAGTGACCAGAATTAAACTTCATACTCATTCTAATAATTTATTGAATGATTAAATAATTATAGTTAATATATATTCTTTTGAATACAGTAAATAATTATAATTAAATTTTCTTAAAACAAAATCGTTAAAGTGGACGAATTAAATAGCAACTCCAAAGGCAAAGTACGAAGGAAGAAGGTGACAAAACCTATCTACCAACGTAAACTCAATAAAATTTGACTCCAATGATAATGGCAAATCTTATAACACGACTCCTATAACAACTCTAGAGAAAGGCAATTCTAACGGTACTGTTAAACTATATAGTACTCAGTGTGACAGGATTTTTACATAGTAAAAAATTAAAAATCATGTGTATTACACAATTGTTTATATTATATAATACATGTAAATAATATTTTAAAAAATAGATCTACCGTATAGTTCCAAAAATAAGCACCCCTTTTTTACTATGGGGGTGCTTGTTTTCAGATATAACGTGAGTAGCATAAAACCGGTTTTTGATTTACATATAACCGGTTTTTGATTTATATATAACTTGTATAAACTTGTTTCTTAACAATATGATGTTGAATATCACCAAACATAGCTGTAACTCTTATACTATTAAACAAAAAAAAGAAGTAGTTGCCTATGTGAAAGAATATGGAAGAAACAAAGCTGCATGTAACTTTATGCTTGACAGTAGTATGATTGGACGCTGGGTAACTGCGAGTGCAAACTGGAATGATGAAGTAAATCAAAATAGTAAGTCATCTGGTTTAGGTCGAAAGGCTTTTTATATAGAAGCTGAAAAAAGTTTATATGAATAGATTATCAAACAAAGAAAGAAAGGTTTAGCCATAACATACACAATTATACAAATTAAAATGATAGAAATTTTAAAAGATCTAGATAATGTATCAGTAACTTCATTATTAGATTTTAAAGCATCAAATCGTTGGATTCATGGTTTTATGAAACGAAATCAGTTGGCTTTAAGACGTCGCACAAAAATTTCTCAAAAACTTTCTGAACAAACTGAAGTATTGTTAAGCAGTTTTTATACTTTTGTAAATAAACTTAGAGCTCAAAAGTCTTATGAGTTACAAAATATTCTCAATATGGATGAAACTCCTGTCTGGTTTGACATAGCAGGTAATATTACAGTTAATAAAATAGGCAAAAAAACAGTGCATATTTGTGGAACTAGTAATGATAAAAACTGATTTACTGTTGTATTAATATGTGCTTATTACCTTTATTTATTTATTTATTATTTATTTATCATTATTTATTTACTTATTTAAAAATCTTATTTTCAAATTAGATGGAACAAAATTTCCTCCTATTTGTATTTTCAAAAGTCAACACTTACCATCTAAAGAACAAGTTCCTCCTGGTATTATTGTCTGGTTTCAAGAAAATAGATGGATGAATACTAGTTTAATGACAAAGTATATTGATTATCTTGAAAGTAAAAGAAATAATGAATGTAAAGCCCCAACAATGATGGTGTATGACTCATTCAGAGAACATTTGGAAGATTCAATAAAAAAAAAATTCTGTGAAAACAGATATGACTTAGCAGTAATTCCTAGTAGCTTGACCAGTATATGCCAACCACTTGATGTTGTTATAAACAAACCTTTTAAAGACAACCTTCGCAAGGAGTAGTATATTTGGATGTCAACTGGTGGTGCAGATGAAACTGCTAAAGGAAATCTTAAGCGTGCAAGACTTGGTGATGTATGTAGATGGGTCAAAAATTCATAGAAAAATATTTCTGCTAAAATTATTGTTCAATCTTTTGAATGTTGTGGTCTATTAGATTATAATAAGGAAAACAAAGAATTAGAGGTCATTGATATAAGTAATTAACAAATTTTTTTTGTTGGCTATTCGTGACTTTTTTTTTTTTTTTTTTTTATCCTTGATTTTTTTTTTTTTTTACTAGTATACGCTAAATGCAAAGGCTTTATTTTTTTTTATAGAAATAACAATTTTAGGCTTACAGGCAAGAAACGTTGGCATTTAAGTTTTTTTTTTTAAATAGACACAAGTTAAACATTGGATTTTTTTTTTTTAGACACTAGAATTTTTTTTTTAGATGTTAAGATTTTTTAGGCACTGAAATTTTTTTTAGATATAAGATTTTTTTTTTAGATACTGGGTTTTTTTTTGTAAACACTAAGATTTTTTTTTAAATAAATTTTTCATCTAGTAAAAACCTATTTGCAAATTGATAAAATTGCACAAAAGGATATAACATTAAACACTATCGCTATTCTTAATTTATTTATTTGTTTACTCATCTATTTTATTAATTTATTTTATTTATTTATCTATTCTATTTATTATTCATATATTTTGTCAATTATTTATTCTATTTAGTCATTAATTTATCATTCATTCTTATTTTAGTATTAGTTACGGGTAGAGATATAAGCGAATTATCTCAATAATTGTGTAACTAGTTATGATATAAGCTTTAGCTAGTTATAGCTTAAGCCATAACATTATTAAGATATTATTGGGGTAAATTAAATTATGGATTAAATATACAAAGATAATTATTTCATGATTACTAAAATACGTACTGAATTTTTTAAATTCTATTACTGTTCACGTTTATCCAATTATATTAAAGCATATCTAAATATTAAAAACCAGATAAAAACTAGTTTTTACCAGTTTTTACAAAGGTGCTTATTTTCGGATATAACTAATATGTGGGGTGCTTATTTTTGGAACTATACGGTATATTATTTGTTACCAGGTATTGTTTTGATTTACAAAAACATGATTTTCTTAAAATTTTTGATCTAATCTAAATGCAGATTTTTCCCTTTTCTATTGAACAGCATCCGTATATATATAAATACATATGATTATCAAAACCTGATGATTATCTGGGGCAGAATCGGTGAGTTGAAGTACACATAACCTAGAAAATCTCATCTATATCCTGGATCTGTCCAAGATTTCCTTTCTTCCAAACCCTTCCTGTACTTGGATATGACTCGGCTTTCAACAATGGACCTTGCTGCCCATTATGACTATTTTCTCTTCTTTTAGACTTCTTCCATCTAAGCCTGACAACATAAATAAAACTCTTATTCATACATAAAAGTAAAAATATAAAGCCATATTTACGAAAAACATAAACATTTTTTAAAAAAAACACTTCACAATGATAAAAAAAAACAAAAACCAAACTAAAATTCTTAAAATAGTCTAACATAAATGAACAAAGATGAAAAAAGTGGAAAAAAAAAAAAGTAGCCATGACATACTATTATAGCCTATGCTAGGCATAAAGATAAAAATTATATAATAATTGCAACTAATTACTATATCTCGATTGTAAACCTTCGGTTTAGCTTTTAGAACTCATTCTGGGCACTGACTCGACTTGGGTATCTCCTAAATGAGGTAACGATCTCTTCCTCGTACCATAGCACCGTATTGAGTAAACAAAACAAACACGTGGTTGCATTCTACTGAGTTCGTCCAAATTAGATAGATGTAAACAATGCCGATTTTTTGGAGGGGGTGAGATAAAATGACCACTTTTTTGTCAAAGTTTTTGGTGAGAACAGCAAAAAACGAAAAACACAAGAGAGACTACTAGCACTTCTTCAAATGAGTGTGAGTTCTAAAGACATCAATAGGTGTTCCACAAGTTTGCACAGTACTAAGTTTTTTTAGTGAGTAATAAACTCTGAGCTTGTCAGCAGATAGCATATGAGAACTATTTTTAAACAACAAGTGCTATGCTTCTGTAAGTAATAAACTTTAAGCTTGTTGGCAGGTAGTATATGAGAACTACCTCTAAATGACAA